AAAAAAATAAACGCGATAAAATCCGTAAAAGTAGTTTTAATCATGTGCAATGTTCGCGTAAATATAAGAAATCATTAGATTATTACGTATTTCTTCATTTACGACCCCTAACCAGAATTTACTATAAGCCTTGTAACTACAATAATTATAGTATTAATTTATATTATACTGTTAGTATCAACACTATCCCTGTCTATCGATTATATTATTAGTGTCAACACTCTCCCTGTCTATCGATTATATTATTAGTGTCATCACTCTCCTTGTCTTTCGATTATATTATTAGTGTCAACACTCTCCCTGTCTATCGATTATATTATTAGTGTCAACACTCTCCCTGTCCATCGATTATATTATTAGTGTCAACACTCTCCCTGTCTATCGATTATATTATTATTGTCAACACTCTCCCTGTTTAACGATTATATTATTAGTGTCAACACTCTCCTTGTTTAACGATTATATAATTGCCGACATAAGTCGTGAGCACACTTTTTATTGGTCGATACGACGTTAACCACGCTGACGTTCAACGTGATTGGTTCATCAGTCTATTCTCGTCGTCTATTGGTTTCGAACGTATCATTAGGCTTCCGTACACTTCAGAGCAATAATTTTAGTGATAACTTTTTAATTAGTTTATTTTCGTTAATTGTTTTTGTTACCTCGTTTTTAATTGTTGTTTGTGTATTCCTAGTTATTAATTGTTTTTGTTATTTCTTGTTTTTAATTATTTTTGTTGTTATAATTTGAGTGTTCAGATTTTGGTCTAAATATGCAGATAAGGAAGATTTCGGTGTTAAACAGACAATCTCGACAAATGGTCTATTCAGTATTTAATTACATGAAAAAATTAGGTACTGCGGAAAACATCATAGACGTATATAAACAGACTGCTGAGGTGATTGTCACAGTAGCTACTGTACGGCGCACCACAACACCAGCTTTTATGGAAAGCATATCACCTCTTCCTTCTTCTTAATAAAATAATCAATTCTAACCATCATCATCATCATCATCATTACAGCCCTTCACAAGTCCACTGCTGAACATAGGCCTCCCCCAAGTAACGCCACAAAGCACGGTCCTGAGTCACCTGCATCCATCGACTTCCTGCATGTCTTACCAGGTCGTCACTCCATCTAGTGGGGGGTCGCCCTACACTACGCCTACCGGTACGAGGCTGCCACTCGAGAACCTTTCTTCCCCATCGGTTATCGGTTCTTCGAGCTATATGGCCGGCCCATTGCCACTTCAGCTTACTAATCCGTTGGGCTATGTTGGTCACTCTGGTTTTACTGCGGATATCCTCTGATATTTCTGAGTCTATCATGCAGAGAAACTTAGAGCATAGCCCTCTCCATAGCTCGCTGAGCGACCTTGAGCGTCCTCATACGGCCAGCAGTGAAGGACAAGTCTTTGCCAGAGATCTGTCTGCCAGAAAGAGCCAACTGTCAAAGCTGAAGACTGAGTGTGGCAGCATCGTTTCCGGGGTACCTGAGATATTGAGTGAGATTGAGAGGTTCTATGGGCAGCTGTACACATCATCGTTGGAGCCACACGCAAGTGTGAGTAATGATACAAGAGCAAGTCTTACCCGACACTATTCCGATGATATCCCGGACGTCAGTCTGAGCGAGATTGGAATGGCTCTCTAGCACCTTAAAAACGGCAGGGCCCCAGGCGAGGATGGAATTACAGCGGAGCTTCTGAAAGCGGGTGGAACACCGGTACTTGAAGTCCTTCAGAAGCTCTTCAATTCCGTCCTCCATGGTGGCACTACTCCGGAGGTGTGGAGCAGAAGTGCGGTGGTCTCGTTCTTTGAAAAAGGCGACAACGCTCTCTTGAAGAACTACAGACCGATTTCCCTTCTGAGCCGCGTCTACGTGCTGTTTTCGAGAGTCATTACGAATCGTCTCGCACGCAGACTCGACGACTTCCAGCCTCCCGAACAAGCCGGTTTCCGAAAAGGCTTCAGTACCATAGACCACATACATACCCTGCGGCAGATTGTACAGAAAACCGAAGAGTACAATTTGCCACTTTGCCTGGCGTATGTGGACTATGAGAAAGCCTTTGATTCCGTCGAAATTTGGGCGGTGCTACAGTCCCTTCAGCGGTGCCAAGTTGACTGTCGGTATATCGAGGTGCTGAAGTGTTTGTACAGTAGGGCTACGATGGCTATCCGAGAACAGAACCAGAGCTCGAAACCTATCCAACTGCAGACATGGGTGACCTTAAGACAGGGTGACGTTATATCCCCGAAACTCTTCACCGCTGCGTTGGAAGACGTTTTCAAGCTACTGGACTGGAAAGGATACGGTATTAACATCAATAACGAGTGATGTACTCGTTGTTACCTTCGATTTGCCGACGATATAGTCCTTATGGCAGAATCGCTGGAGGACCTTAGCACTATGCTCAATGATCTCAATGGTGTCTCCCAACGGATAGGTCTTAAGATGAACATGGACAAAACAAAGATTATGTTCAATGTCCATGTCACACCTATGCCGGTAGTTGTTGGGAGCACTATGCTCGAAGTTGTTGACGAGTACGTTTACCTGGGACAAATAGTCCGACTAGGTAAGTCCAACTTCGACCGAGAGGTCAATCGAGGGATTCAACTCGGCTGGGCAGCGTTCGGGAAATTACGACATATCTTTTCGTCAGGTATACCTCAATCTCTGAAAACTAAAGTGTACAACCAGTGCGTGTTGCCAGTGATGACTTACGGATCAGAGACGTGGTCTTTCTAACCACCAGGTATACATTCAATACTTTATAGTAGATAATAAAATAACGGACACGAATACCTGCAACATTACTGTATCAAAGTAAAATTTGATGTGTTCGAGTAAACATTTTCATTAAAAGTCGGAGAAAATATTCAATTACGAATTGAAATAATAAAGGTAGCTAATAATTTTGCCCGACAGTGTACCTACCTCCCACCACAGTTTATCTGTCTGTGTCGGCAACTATACTATTAGCGTCAACACTCTCCTTTTTTAACGATTATATTATTAGTGTCAACACTCTCCCTGTTTAACGATTATGTTATTAGTGTTAGCACTCCCTATCTAACGATTTTTTCTTTCTTTAAATTTCATAAATTTTAAATCATAAAGCTATAAGCCTAATCTATCCCTTCGTAGATGATTCTGGTATATAAACGTGTTTAAAACATGTGTAATTCGTATCGCCTTAAGGTTAAGGAGAACAAGGACAAACTTACGTGTTTGAGTTAGTCCATCTATATGAGTACGTAAAATCTGTATAGACAGACAATCATTCCTTTAACTAATCAAAAGTATCAAAAAGACTTAATTGTCTTTTCTGTTATCAAATAAACATTTATCGTAAATGTTGAGTTATATCTTGTTATGTCATAAACCTTTCTCAGACTTGTTCACAAAAAATTACTTACCATATGGCAACATGAACTTAATGTAGCTGAAGGTGATTCATTGTATTTTCAAAATTTGTACTTCAACTATATGTTATAGGTCTGAAGGTCGTTTTTGCATCTGTCTCCAACGCTGCGGAGTCTTTGTTTCTTTTTTGTCTGAGTGCGTACAACTCTCGACCTTCGTCTACACTTCAATACGCATATCTTAGCCTTTAAAGTGTTAGCTTGGTTCCTAATACGGTACACTCGATTGCACACAACATAATCATCACACCACTCGAGTCAAGGATTAGTATGCGCATTGTATTGTTAAAATCAATCAATGATCAAGAAATAACAGTAAATACTTGAACTGTATAAATATTGTTTACGGAAGTGCAAGCACTATTTTTAGTTGATCTAAATGCTGTATAAATTGAAATAAATAATAAAATTATTTAAAATTACTCTTTGAATTTTATGGTATCTTAAGATTTTATTTTGAATAATTCTGTTATAATAATTTTATTTTTATTATTATTAAAGAATTTGCACAGTTTTTAATTCTGTTGGTTACTTAACGTAACGCACTAATACAAGTAATTAGAATATGTATGATGTATGTCATAACCTCGTAACCCCAATTTCGTAATAAGCTGAAAATATTTCCTAATTGAGCACCCAATATTAGAATACTAAATCTGCCCTAATTATTTGTAGGCCTCAAAAGAGGAAAACATTATCAATTTCCTTGTCTGTGTGTTTTTGTATGTATATCTACAATCTATATACGTCCCACTGCTGGGCACATGCTTTCTCTCATTTCTGAGAGGGTACAAGCACGGGTACAAGTGATGAAGATATCGCGTAGTTTAAAAAAGATATCTACGTGATATCTTCATCAGTTGTAAACCGATTTCAATGTTCACTTTTTATTAAATATGTTATACTTCATTGATGGTTCTATACAAATTTAAAGAAAAATATTTACCCTCTCCTCCTTTATTGCCTCCCTCCTTTATTGTAAATTTTATTTCTTTGTATCACACGAGGATGTCCACATGTTATTACGGGTTCACTAAAAATTTGCATTGTTAATAAGCTGAGTGAGGTCCGTTGAATGTATGTGTCAAGTTATTGTTTTTTTTATTAAATTATTTTTCCTTGTATTGACATGTGTAAAAATATTTAAATTTAAGTGCCTAAGTTATGTGTGTGGCATGTTTGCAATAAATGTCTCTTTCGTTCTTTCCCTCTCAAGGGGAAAAGGAGAGAAATTTTAAATGTTATTGAGACGAAATTCTAGCTTTTGATATGTCTTAGTCCACGCGTTTTTTGAGCCTTTGAAGGCACAAAAATTTGACTTTTAATGTAAGTGAAAGCCGGCTTTAAGAAACTAAAAAAGTATATAATAATTAGTAGCTTCTGAAGCCGGAACTTTAATAATTGTAAAGATATGACTTCCGAAGTTATTTATGGAAATAATATTGTTCATTTTCGTTTCTTAGAAGTTGGCTTTTATTATTTATTAAACGTCAAGTTTTTATTATATTCTGGTTTAAGAGTAAATAAAACTCCTAGGTACGTAACAGTATTAAATTCTTTGCAGATAAACCTCTTCCTATCGTCGAGCCAGCTCTTGACACTTCGGAGGAAGGTCATGCCGCACAATGCACGTGTCCTAATTGCGATGAAGTTTTATCCAGATTCTCCGAGTGCAGCATATGCTTGGAACCGTTACAGGTAACTATCCTCATTAAAATTTAATAATGATAATATGTGCGTATACACCAGTACGTGTTGGCAGTGATAACTTATGGAACTGAGACGTGATCTTTCACTGCTGGTCGTATGATAACGCTCAAAGTCGCTTAGCGAGCTATGGAGAGGGCTATGCTCGGGGTTTCTCTGCGTGCTTATAGTCAACCAAATCTAAGAAATACATTTTGACAGCTGTCAGATTTATTGCACCAAGCATGCCAATCAAAAAATGGGAACGTACAATATTCGATTCTTTAAAAAATCGATATCGATTATTTAGAGTTGGTAATCATTTAGTTTTGTTTGGTGTGTAATAATACCAGAATATATTTAAAACGGATAATTTAAAACACAAGATTTATCAGTTTCTTCGTATTTGTTGTTACTGCTTATTTCTAAAGGCACAGTTACAAAAATTTAAGATTGAAACTAGATTAAAAATAAATTTATTCAATCATTTTCAGTAAAACTAGTAGATATGTCGTTGTTTATATTAATTATTATTAGATTTTTAATAATGCAGACAAAATTAATGTCTCTTTCAAAGTCATCCATAATATTTTTTTTTGTTTTTTCAACCACTTTTGCCCAATCATCCTTTGTGACATGGGCACATGCTTCAACGAATATTTTTTTATAGCATTGGGTGACAAACGAGCACACAGTCCACCTGATGTTAAGTGGATGCTATGGCCCATAGACATACATATTTATTCTCAATTCAGAATCAAAATGCAAATGCGTTGTCACCCCAGAGGCTTAAGATGGAATGCCTCGATTCCTCCAACCCACTAATTTATAATAATCTAATTGATACAATAAAACATATGAACTTATTTAACTTTAAGAAAGTGCTTAATGAATTATTAATAGACAAATGTTATTATAAAATTGACGATTTCTTGAATGATAATTTTGACCAATTGTATTAACTTTAAATTATATTGACTAATTATATTATTTTCTTTTTGTCATCTATTTAATTTTATCAATGTAGAATCTTAATTGGTGTTACAATTTCATTAATTTTTATTCTATTTTATTTTTATGGCATGATTCATACGATGATGCATACGAATACACACTTATATTTGTATGTCTTTAAGACAAAACATAGCGTACTAATAATTGCAACCCTCGCAAGATCTTCAATGTATAAACCTACCTATGTTTGACAAATAAACTATTCTGATTCTGATTCCAGTAAAAAGAGTCTCCGGTTCTCTACACTCACCATATGAAACACAGCAGCATTACGCTACTATTTTACGCTGGTATTCTGTGAGAGCGTGGTCCTGCCCCGGTTGAGCCGACCCATTCGTGCTACAACTATAATATAGATGTAGCGTGGCTCTACCACGTACAAAAAGTTATTATAGAAGAAACAGTCTAAAAAGTTAAAACCGAGTCACAAAATAAGAAGACAAACAAAAAAATCACAAAATTACGCACAGTAAGCTCTGGAAACAGAAACATAAACTTTTTTATTCAATATAGATTAGAATAATACTTATTGAAAGTCACTTTTTTCATTTACCACTGGTTCATAAAAAAAAACCTTTGTCCTGGGAAGAACCAGCAATAAACGCAACGGGACTAGTTTAAAAAAAATAAGAGCTTACAATCATGCGTGTTACAATTAACAGCACAAAACAAATTAGAAATAGCTTGATAGCGATCACCCTTCCCAGGAGTTATATCATCCATAAATTCCTTAATATTAAAATAACCCTTTTTATACAAACTTAGTTTAATAAAGTTTTTAAACTATGTGTACTGACGTCAAATTTCGTATATTTTCTGTGATTTTGTTGTAAAAGCGTATACATCGCCCCAAGAATATATTACTGACTCTGTGGAGTCAAGTAAGTGGTACCGAACGGAAATGGCGGGATATTGAAATTATGTAGTGGTTATTTTAGCACGGCCTTGTATAAAGGATTTTTTGCCAACACAAATTTACTTTGACCAAGTAAAAAAAAATAAACTTGTTTTATGCATGATTCATGTAATTTGAGGAATTTTGAAAATAAAAATTAAATTAAACAAATAATACGTTAAAAAAATTAATGATTCGATTATTTGAAAATGTTTACCGATTATTTGAATATTTTGCCGATCATTCGCATAACAACGAATTTTAATCATCCAAGCACTACGGTAATATACATAGCGACATATCATTGAAACGACTTCAAGTAAAAAAAGTTAATACTGGTTATTTTTTAATATTTTGCTTTGTTTGAAAAATTCAAATTTAAATTAGTGATAAAAACTATACACGTTGTAATGAAATATAGATAACTTCATAATTCTTCGGATTTACGTAAAAGGTTATTTTAAATCTTGTGAGTACGCTGGTGCAAAGTTATTGCGGAATGATTAATGTGAAACGTCAAAAGGTATTTCTTAGATTTGGTGGACTATAGAAATGAGGATATCCGCAGTAGAACCAGAGTGACCGACATAGCCCAACAGACTAGTAAGCTGAAGTGGCAATTGGCCGACAGTATAGCTCGAAGAACCGACAAACGATGGGGGAAAAAGGTTCTCGAGTGAAGACTGGTACCGGTAGACGAAGTGTAGGGCGGCCCCCCACTAGATGAAGTGACAACCTGATGAGACATTCGGGAAGTCGATGAATGCAGGTGGTACAGGACCGTGCTTTGTGGAATTTCTTGTGGGAGGCCTATGTTCAGCAGTGGATCTGTGAAGGGCTGCAACGATAATGATGAATGATAATATGTGTAAGAGTACCCACTGGGGTAATGGATATCCTTATATCGTCGTGTGGGTATCGTAAGAAACACAGGAGGCAAAACCAGAAGAGGGCAGCAGCGTCTTCTTAATAATAAGTCAAAAATACTGCGGTTGCCTATCCGCCCACCAAGCGTGGCAACGATGGCAAAAGTTTATATCGCAATAAGTGGGAGAGAGTTCCGCTTTATAGTGTACTTTTGGTATGCTGTTAAATAACAGTAATGTTAAATTGGCATGCCTTGGTGATGGGCAATGTTTAGCAATAGATATTAAGTTATAATCGACGCAGATTTCCTGCATCTTTTACTATTTAATCATTTGGAATAATGTAGCTACATTATATATTTTATATTCTATATTTCTTCCCCCAACGGATGGATATTTTATGTTAAATATATATACTCTTTAAATATCACTCTTTTAATAAAAACAAATGTACACAGTTTACGTAATATATTTTAGTACACATACTCATTACGAGCTTTATAATGTCAAGAGGGACTTCGGTCCGGTTCTATAGCCGATATTAGTGTAGTGACCTTCCATATGCGTAGGTCAATTGTCCTAAGTGTGTCCTACAAATTATTGAAAATTAACCGATAACATCGTAAGTAACGTAATTAAAACGTTAATAATAATAAAGTAGGCGCCATTATCGATTTTCGTATCACATTTATGTATGTTAATTATCTCGCGTGACGCTTTTCAGTTACAGTTTTCTTTTAATCTATGGGAACTGTCGTACGCATTTGACTTTTTTATTTTTTATGTGACATACATCTTAGCATTATCTTTTCTTTATTTAATTGGGGCTGATAATGTCCCGCTCAGTTGTCGCTAGTAGACATTGAAATGAAGTTATTTAACACAGTGTCACCGCAAGTTGCGTTTTTAAAAAAATCCGGTTTCTAGTGTATTCACAAAACAATACCTCAGTTTTACCTCACTTTAATTGTTTGCATATTTCTAAGTGTTTTTAACTTCCTGCTAAAAATTTCAGTAATTTAGTAGTAAAGTTAGTAAATTAAAGTACGTCACAGGCCACACATTATAAATATGTTATTATTAACAATCAGTTATGTTATTAATATAACAATAAAATATATCATTCTAAAAGTATATTTTAAAATAAAATTTATTTTCATCATTTTATATACCGCAGCGCACATATATCGAAAGGTTTATGTTCAATATCAGCGTAAGGTTAGGTAGCGTAGGTTAAGGGTTAGGTTAGACTTAGAATGCAGCCCTCGGATTGAGAGGGTGGCGGGTGCTATGCACAGACTGCTGCCCAATCTAGGGGGACTGTATGGGACTTAAATGGGGCGGGCTGTATGGGTGAAAAGGCTAGTCATCCGAGGCTGTAGAACTAAAATCTACAGTGTCCAGCGGAGGATGGCTGTACGGATCGTGCGAGGCTACCGCACGATATCCTTTGAGGCGGCAACAGTGCTATCTCGCTTTCCACCCCTAGATATACAGGCGGATATGGATGCGAAGGTGTACAACCGAATCCGCATTCTCCGTCAGGGAGGTGACAGTGAGCCAGATGAGGCGCTCAAGTCTCTAAAACGGCAGGAGCAACAAAAAGCTTTGGCAACATGGCGCACTCGACATAACGAGGAGCGCTATGCACGGAAACGCGTCATTGGCGCAATCCTGCCGGTTTTCGAAGCCTGGATGCGACGACGACGACGAGTAGGAGGACACACCTACAGACTTACACAGAACCGGCACGGGTGCTTCGGTGATTATCTGTGTAAGATCGGACGTGAAGCGACGGCGAACTGCTTTCACTGTGGCGGGCTTGATCGGGATTCCGCGTCCCATACGCCTGCAGTTTGCCCAGGATGGGAACGGGAGCGGAAAATCCTAGCAAGCCGGACCGGTCGGAACCTTTCCCTGCCAGCAGTCGTGTCGACGATGCTGACCGAGGATTCGGCGTTCTGTGAGTCCGTAATGGTCCAGAAGAAGACTGCTGAACGGGATCAGGAGGAGGACAGATCCCGCTTGGAGACGACGCCGTCAAGGCGCTCGTCACGGCCCTACCCTGGAAAATGGTGATTCCCTACCAGAAACGGGGCCTCTGGGGTTGCAAGTAATATTATCCCCACATAACATTATTATTACTCCTCACGGGTAATAATAATGTTACTCCTGAGGAGAACGATGGCTCGGAAGTGACAGAGATCCCGGGACCCCCCTTATACGCTGATGGAGACCACTGTGGGGTTTTAGCCGGTAGGAGTCCAGCATAACCTTTTGGGTGCCCCCGCAGCCAAATGAAATTTCCCCACGAAAAAAAAAAGACTTAGACTGTAGACATGAACTGCATCATGCTTTGTGGCATTTCTTGGTGAAGACCTATGTTCAGCAGTGGACTTGTGAAGGTCTCTAATGATGATGATGATGAATTGGAATATTCTAATTGGACAACCTGGACTCCCTCAATAGCTAAACTGTCTTAGACAGACTACATAGGTACACTTTATTACGAACGATAGAAGTGAAAAAAAGTTAGTTTGGTACACGAAAATTTAATATTGTATTTAACTTTAATCATGTACGTAGTATATTTCTATAACTTAAACAACATATTAGAGTTTAATAGACTTTATTTAAAAGTAAAATAAACAAATATAGCTTATAGAATAATCAAGAGACTAATTTTCATTACTTTTAAATATGTAAAGATTAAACTTTGATCTCCACTAATTTTCGGAGACGATAATGAATATTTAATGATGGGTTTCTTGTTTCTTTTCTGAGTGAGAACTGGTGGACTCTATCTTAAAATTACTAAGTTCTATTTTATATTTCTATTCTATATTACATTATTGTGCCAAATTATTATGAATGTTATAATGTTGTTGATATAGCAAATCTAATTATGTTTATTCATTTATCGAATTACCAACATCATGTCTTACACTAATAATAAAAGGAAAAAACAAGCAAGAAATTCAAACCATCATAGCGATAGTTATTTGTTATTACTAATTATATGCGACGATAATATGCACATCAACAAATTAACAACACAATTAGATTTTACATTCATTATTCTGCTATTTATAATAACTCACGTATGCCTCAAAACCAAAAAACAAGAGTGTACAACCAGGGCATGTAGCAGTGATGAAATATAAATCTGAAACGTAGTCCTTCACTGCTAGAACTGTAGAACCAGAGATAATGTAGGCTGCAATAAAAGTATCGGGAATGGAATATTTCCACTGTTCCTGTCATATTAAAATCTTTTAATTGAAAACTCCTTGGTTTTAAAAATCGAATACCATTTATTTATTTAAAAAAATATACATTCCAACTAATCAGTGAGCTGAAGTAACAACGGGCCTGTCATATAGCTCAAAGAACCAACAACCGATTGGTAAAAAAGGTTCCCGATTGACATCCTCAAACCGGTAAACGAAGCCCCCCCCCCCCACTAACTCCTCCACAACTGGAAGTCATTGAATGCCTTATTTTATGTTTTAAATTCGTATATTGTCTTTTAAATGCCTCTGCGTTTTGATTGCTAATGGAGGTTAGATGTAGTTGTATCATACTATCCGCATAGAATAGAATAGAATAATTTTTTATTCAATATATATTACAAGTAATTCTTATTGAAAGTCTATGTTTTACTTTACCACTGGTTCGAAAGAAAACTTCTGTCCTGAAAAGAACCAGCAAGAAATCCAGCGGGATTTTTTTAAATAAATTTTACAATGTCAATTGTCACAAAATATATACAAAATTTATTTTAGAAACAGCTCAGAAGCGACCACCTCATTCCCAGGGGTTATTATCAACCATGTATTCATTTATATCATATAATAACCCTTTTTATACGGCTTTTGTTTAATTAAATATTTAAACTTGGTATTATAGAGACCTTGTATATTTTCTGGGACTTTGTTGTAACAGTGTATACATTGCTCCAAGAATGAATTGCTGACTCTGTGGAGTGGAGAAAATGGTGTCACTAGCTTGTGTTTGTTTCTAGTGTTTACAGAGTGTATGTCACTTTTATTATTAGAACTACCTTTGTTTTTGTGAACATGCATCAAATTTTTAAAGTTAAACTGACAGGCCAAAATTAATATATTTCTTTAAATTTTTCTCTATAAGAGACTCTCTCGGTTTAAGTTTCTAAGTCAGCCGCATTCCCCCAATGCAAAATTCCATATTACATTATGCTAAGAAAATAACTGAAATGAACTAATCTAGCTGTCTCGACACTAGTGAGATCTCTAATCTTTTACAGCATAAGCTGCAGAGCTTAGTCTGCTTGCTAGTTTAGATATACGAGGGCGGCACTGAAAATTTCGGGAATCAAGGAAGTAACACAACATTACTATTTAAAAATGTATTTATTGCTTTTCGAAGTATTCTACGCAAAAGTTGACACATTTTTCCATACGATGGAATCAATCATTGAAGCAACCATTCCATTCGGAAGTTGGGGTCTCCAAAATGGCCGTTTTGTAGGCGTCCAGAGCTTCTTCAGGTGATGAAAATCTCTGTCCACGCAATTTATTCTTGATTTTAGGGAAAGTATAGAAATCATTAGGGCTTAGGGCGGAGCTGTAAGGCGGATGGTCTAATAATTCTATGTTTTCTTGCCTTAAAAACTCTTTTGTCGTGATGGACGATGATCGGCGGTTGCAGTTCTCTTTACGGAGTCCAAAAACGACCTGTGGCAAACAAATGCTATCATACCATTGTGCATTAACCTTTCTTTGTCCCTCAAGAGGAATAGTCGTAACATGGCCGGTTTTGGAGACAAACGTGGCCACCGTTTTTTTTTTTTTGCAACACTCCGTGAACGAACAATTTTTGTTGGCTTTAACTCATTTTCGAAGACCCAAACTCGTGACTGGTTTTTTGTTTCGGGTTCGTACGCATATATCCAGGATTCGTTACCTGATACGATGTTGTAAACAGCATTTGAGGATCCTGCGTGGAATCTTTCGAGAGTTCTGACGCATCAAATAACGCGAGCCGCTTTTTGCTCTTCACAGAGCGAATGCGGCATCCATCGGGAAAACAACTTTTTTACACCTAATTGTTAATGCAATATTATTTGTATTTAACTCATGCCAATGTTTAAAGTTGCCTGCATTTTGCGGTATGTCACATGTCGATCTTCCTCAATCAGCTTACGCACAGCATCAATGTTTTCTTGGGTGACTGCAGTTTTTGGACGACATTGACGGGAATCATCACTGAGCTTGACACGTCCACGTTGAAATTCAGCAAACCAGCGATAAATTGGGGTTTTGGATGGGGTTCATCACCAAATGCAGAAATCATCCGGTCAATAGACTGTTTTTGTGTTAAACCACTTCGAATTCATAATAAATCATCGCTCTTGAATTTTCTCGAGTCAATTCCATTTTCTCAACGACTAAACAAGTTTGACAAAACCTTGTGACAAGACCGAGAATCTTTTTTGAAATAAATAAATGGTATTCGATTTTTAAAACCAAGGAGTTTTCAATTAAAAAGATTTTAATATGACAGGAACAGTGGAAATATTCCATTCCCGATACTTTTATTGCAGCCTAGTATGGGGGCCCCACTGAAGTTTAGCATCGAGAGTGATGCCAAGAAGAACAGAGGATTAGGTGGACTGTATGCTCGTTTGTCACTCTTATTCTATAAAAAATGTTTCTTTGTTCTTTTTACTCCCGGACATAATTACTTGAATAACTACAAATATCAAGTTTATGTTTCCTTCTTTACAGTGCTGTGGCCCATGCGTATGCCCTTGGTGCGGCGGCGTTTGGTGCGGACGATGTTCAAGGAGAATGTCCAGATGTGCGTGGTGTCGAGGGAGCCTTCGGGCTCCAGCAGCACCCTGTCTAGCCTTACAGCGGCTCATCAACGACCTTATGTTACCTTGTCGAAATTATAGGTAGGTACCTAAAAGACAGCTTATGCCAAATGTTGACAGGAAAGTGTTATCTGCGATCTGAAAACGCCAAATACGGCAGCCGGGAAACCTTCATGTTACGTCGCGTTTTCACGATAACTTTGCCTAGCCACCTATATGAATTAATAAGCTGTAACATCTTTCACCCCATCGGTGGTAGAATTTTCCAAAATTCTTTTTAGGTGAATTTTAACGTCGAGAAAGCAGTATTTATGTCATATTTCAAGTTAATCGGGCGTAAAGATTTGAAGATCTCGTGATAAGTGTAGTAGTGGTATTTTGCTTATAAATACGTCGCAGAACTAGCTTAATCGGTTTGTTGAATGAATTTAATAAGGTAACCATACCACGTATTATCGCTAATCTGTGCCTCATATGTGCTACTTGCTATAGTATTATACTGAATGACCTTTTACCGTCTGGATAAAATAGGGTGTAACAGTTAAATGGAGTAGAAGCCTACGGCACAGACATGTTACAAAAAATAAAAACTAAAATGTTGAATTAAATAAATAAATCAATTAAAATATCGAAACTCAAATCATACTCACTCTAGTTTTATGAGCGGCAATAAGCTCTTTGTCAATGTCCTTTTGCAGGATCACAGGTTTAACGGCAAAGACACACCTCACATGGCACGATCAAAATTCATAAAAAAATTTCTTCAAAAAAAACTCTTCGAAATTTTTGTTTTTATTGTTTGTAAAATATTAGTGTCATAGGTTTCTCTTCCATTAACTGTTACACCCTTTTTTCCATAAGCTAAAAAAGATCATACAGTATACGTACGCGGCCTTAAGTCGCCTAAAGCCTACCCCGGCCGCATCTTAAACTACTGTCGCTGATATTACAAGATAGTTACAATATTGTATTAGACGTATAGGCTAAATATCATTCAGGCTTCTAGTTGAACAGCGCCGTTTTAACTAAAAAGCTAATTAAGCTAGTTGACTGCGATGTAGATAGATAATTTGAGACTGTTTAAATTTAGTAGTCATTTAGAGACGGACAACTGTATATAAAGAAGTTAAACATGTGTATTTTTGGTTAATTAATAGAATCAGGTATTACTTTGCGGAAATCCATTATATTAAAGTTGATAAACTTCGCCTCGGTCACATCCGCTCAATAAAATAAAATGACATGGCTTACTCTTACCTCTTGAACGAATTAACCACTTCTCCAACTCGTATCAAACAACAAAGCAACAATATGTTCTTTGTGCAGATTCTTGCGTAACGTTATATTATACTTATGTTTTATATATGTAATATCATACATCCCACTGCTGGGCCTTCTCTTATCTCTTAGAGAGTTTTAGGAGTAGGAATTGACCGCATCCGTGAATTTGTGTCGCGAATATACATATATTATAATAATATAAATATTTTTTGTCTTTTATTTAATCCTACTAAGCTGCATGTGGTCGGACGATGTAGTTTTAAAACTATTACAAACGCTGTAATCAACCTTACTTATGATATTTCATTACAAGTATAATGAACAAAGCCTTGCTATGTTATTGAACGTATTACTTAGCCTTGCCGTGTATTTTTATCGGGCAACCACATCGTGGCTTTTATTGTGTTAATATGAAACTGTTACATAAACACAGATAAAAAGAGAAGTGGCAGCGCTCGTATATACGTTATATTAAGTAATATTCACATGTTCTGATCATGTTGGTCAATTGCTTTGTTCAAATATATCATAGTTGCTGACAAAGAAGTTGAAAGCAGCAGATATCCAAAAACACTAAATGTTAATATTTACTTTTCTGTTATTCCTACGGTCGTAATTTTTAAGGCTGTGTTTTCGACTAACATTGCAAGCCTTTCAACGACATTATATAAGCAGACAAGGCTAGGTTAGAAGCGAAGAGGTTTAGAGATTTAGAGAATAAGAACTAGAAAAATCATTTCAGAGAACTTTCCGCCTCGTTGTCGATGCGTCTTTGTTATTCGAGGTCCATATCAAGATGGATTAAACGCTGGATTAAATAATAACACTTAGCTCTTAGTTGTTAAATCAGATTGTTTATTTTCATTGATATGAGTCTACTTATTTGTATTTATCTTTTATTTTGATGAAACTTTATCTATTATTATTATTATCGAAACATTTCTAGATAGTCTATTTGTATTTACCACTTTTTTTGATATTCACACTTCAAAGGATAAGATCCTTTCTAAACAGTTTATTTTTGTAATATATTTTTGATGACAGATCACTCAAACTTCTGATAACTCTATTATCATAGACTTTATCAACTGTGATTGAACTCGAAGTATGAGTATAGAAGGATCTTAAATATGAATTATCTTAAAAGTATTCTTTGTTCACAGACGCGGCTGCACAGAACTACTGACAGCCACCACCAGAGCAAAGCACGAGGAAGCATGTAAATATGACACTATGATATGCCCCATCACACAAACATGCTGCTCAGTAGCTTTCGAGGAGCTCTCAGCACATCTTCAGTCCCACCATAACATCATCGCGGTCTACTCACAGAAGATCAAAATCCTCATAGAAAACTTCCAGACCAAACTCAAAAAGACTGCGTGCTGCAGGACGAAGTATAAAATAATTCTACTCTACCAGAAGAGTGCCTTCATTATCAAAGTATGCATCTACAACTTCCACGTCAAAGTTGAAGTGATGAGACGCAAGCTAGGGTACATAGCGGATGCGAAGTCCGAAACAAAAAAGAGCGAATACTGTGCATTAATTGAATTCCAAAGCAAGGCATTGTGCACAAAATCAGCAATATTAATAGAAAATGAAGCATATAGTAAAAAGGCTGAGGTACAGTGGAACGATATAATCATGAAATCTGATACAGACGAAGCCATCACAATTCATGTTAATATTGGAAAATCTGACGCCGATCTTTTGAAAAAGGAACCCACGAATTCATGAGTCTCGATCTCTACTTGATTCGAGTGACTACAGTGTCACATTCATAAATTGTATTATGTATATAATCAATGACTAATAATCTATAAAACTGTCAAAAATAATCTATTTTAGTGTTGACGGGTCCAAAAATTACCTTGAGCATATCGCATTAAAGTTAGGTTTAAAAGAATTAGCCTAATTTTAAGTAGATATGTGAAATATATATAAGAATGGCGTTAGAGCTTAAACAGCTGAAAGTGACTGATATAGTTTTAAATTTAGTCAATAATGAAGTAATATTTAAGATGTAAAATAAATTAGTACTATTTTACAGGACTTATTCTTTTATTTTTACAAATCCCGGCGTGTTATGTCGACAGTAAATGTAGCTAGAACATAGAACGAATTAAATATAACCATAATACAAATTCTTAAATTATACGATGTGAGAATGATTTGGTAACAATATCGGAAACAATTTGTTAATTAATCCAATAAAATATGTTTCCCGACTAGTACGGTAACAATCGCGCCAGCACGCCATCAAGTGGTGTCAAACATCAAACAAGGCATCTGTAGTTGCGTCAAAACTCAACATGGATATTCCACTAAGCTTTTACGTCATAGAGCCATGCTGCAGCTATAATGCGGTTGTAACACGAATGGGTCGGGATGGGTTCACGCTCTCACAGAATACTAGCGTAAAATAGCAGCGCAAAGCTGTGTTTCGAATGGTGAGTGTAGAGAACAGGAGATCCTTTTATCATTTATCCTCGATAAAGAATCAAAACGCAAATGCATCGTCACCGCTGAGAAATAAGATGAAATGCCTCGTTTCCAGTAAAAAAAATGTCTCCGGATCTCTACACTCACCACACCAAACTCAACAGTATTAAATTGATATTTTACGCTGGTATTCTGTGAGAGCGTGATTCTTCCCCGGTTGAACCGAACCATTAGTGTTACAACCATAACATTGCTGCAGCGTGGCTCTACCACATATAAAAATCTTCTTCTAAACGTCTTCCTTACAAAAATTCAATAAATATAAATATTATTGTAGCCACCTCCTGGAGGAAATGTATGAGGATATTTCTAAAGCCATGCATTCCTTCAAAATCCACTACACGGTGTTGATGGAAGACTTCAACGCAAAACTAGGCACAAGAGAAGGCGGTAAGCTGAAGTTAGGGAATTTTGGAGTAGGGCAACGGAACCGTAGGGGCCAGCAGCTGGCTGACTTTATGGAGAAAGAGGGACTCTTTATGATGAACTCTTTCTTCCATAAGCGGCCCCACAGGAAGTGGACCTGGTCGAGCCCCGACGGTTCGACAAAAAATGAGATTGACTTCATTATGACGACCAAAAGCCTACTGTTCAGTGATGTCTCAGTGATCGCAAGGGTGAAAACCGGCAGCGATCACTGAATGGTTAGAGGCACACTGAACCTAAACGTTAAGTTGGAGAGGTCTCGTCTAATGAAGTCAACGTTCCGTCCCCCCTCGTGCTCTAATCCAGAATCCCGAATCTTTTCGGCTCGAGTTACGTAACCGCTTTCAGTGCCTAGAATATTGCAATGCAGTGGACGATATGAATGACAAGCTCGTGGAAACTGTCCATGCGGTCGGAGCTAAGTTCTGCAAGACCCGCCGCAGAAGAACACAAAAACTCTCCGATCACACTCTTAATCTCATGGCTGTTAGACGGAAGATGAAGCTGCAATCGTCAACAGATTTGACAGCATACAGGCAACTGAACAGACAGTTCTCCAAATGCATGCGGCGAGACTTACGCAACTTTAATATTGCTCGTATTAAAGAAGCGATCGAGCGGAACCAGGGTTCTAAAGTCTTAAAAATTGTACAGAAGACTGAAGAGTACAATCTGCCACTTTGCCTGGCGTATGTGGACTATGAGAAAGACTTTGATTTCGTCGAAATTTGGGCGGTGCTACAGTCCCTTCAGCGGTGCCAAGTTGACTGTCGGTATATCGAAGTGCTGAAGTGTTTGTACAGTAGGGCTACGATGGCTATCCGAGTACAGAACCAGAGTTCGAAGCGTATCCAACTGCAGAGAGGTGTAAGACAGGGTGATGTTATATCCCCGAAACTCTTCACCGCTGCGTTGGAAGACGTTTTCAAGCTACTGGACTAGAAAGGATACGGTATTAACATCAATGGCGAGTACATCACTCACCTTCGATTTGCCGACGATATAGTCCTTATGGCATAATCGCTGGAGGACCTTAGCACTATGCTCAATGACCTCAATGGTGTCTCCCAACGGATAGGTCTTAAGATGAACATGGACAAAACAAAGATCATGTTTAATGTCCATGTCTCACCTATGCCGGTAGTTGTTGGGAGCACTATGCTCGTAGTTGTTGACGAGTACGTTTACCTGGGACAAATAGTCCGACTAGGTAAGTCCAACTTCGACGGAGAGGTCAATCGACGGATTCAACTCGGCTGGGCAGCGTTCGGGAAATTACGACACATCTTCATGTCAGGTATACCTCAATATCTGAAAACTAAAGTGTACAACAAGTGCGTGTTGCCAATGATGACTTACGGATCAGAGACGTGGTCCTTCACCGCTGGCCGTATGAGGACGCTCAAGGTTGCTCAGCGAGCTATGGAGGGGGCTATGCTCGGAGTTTCTCTGCGTGATAGACTCAGAAATGAGGATATCCGTAGAACCAGAGTGACCGACATAGCCGAACGGATTAGTAAGCTGAAGTGGCAATGGGCCGGCCATATAGCTCGAAGAACCGATAACCGATGGGGAAGAAAGGTTCTCGAGTAGCAGCCTCGTACCGGTAGGCGTAGTGTAGGGCGACCCCCCGCTGGAGTGACGACCTGGTAAGACATGCAGGAAGTCGATGGATGCAGGTGGCTCATGACCGTGCTTTGTGGCGTTGCTTGGGGGTGGCCTATGTTCAGCAGTGGACTTGTTAAGGGCTGTAATGATGAGCCACTTCCGTTGCCATTTAATAAGGGCAAATATTTTTTTCTCCCTATAAAGCAATTCATGCAGGAGGCTTACGTTGAGCAGTTAACTTGTGACGAACTATAGGAAATGAGCGAACTATTTAGTCATTGACGCAAATTTTATAAAATATAACTAAACGTAGATCCTAAAGACCTTAACCACATCTTGATGCTTTTCAATGCACTTTGAATAGTACTGGATAAAAACATTGAAAGAAAACAACTCACACCGGAAAAAACAGTTTGTATGTCATAATAGAAATATATCCATTGAGTCTTATAGTTTATTTTATAAAATCCAAGAAAGTTGCAGTCAATAAAAACCAAATTAATAAACAAGTTAAAATTACTGAATACTGTACGGCACTTAGTAGGCTAAATGCCGTCTCGTAGCGGTAAGTGAAGTGTATGGCGTTCCCCCACTAAGTAGAGGCTCGATTTGGTAAGTGATGCAGGTTGCAGTTGATATATACAGGTGGCTCAGGACCATGCTTTCTAGCATTCCTTGGGGGAGGTCTATGTTCATACTACAACTCGCGGCACGAAAGTCTAGCCGTGACCGTTATTGCACATAATTAGCCGTAATACGCATTATTGCGTAATATGCGATTAGCTACGCGTATCGTTTGCACGTGCTGATTGGCTCTCCGGTGGCATTCCGCCCCCGTACTGATATGACATTCGCAGCTATACTCTCCACGTTTCGTTCAGCGCTAGAGTTACGTGCAGCGAGTTGTAGACTTGTGATGGACTGAAATGATGATGACGGTGAAGATTGTTCTTAAACTAGTAAAAACTTCCAACGTCAACATCTCACAAGAGATTTTTGTAGATTGCCTTCTTTAATAACTATGTCCATTTATAAGAGTATTATGCATAAAATATATTTTAAGATAGTAATTGGCTACTGCACCATATCGACACCTGCATCCGACTTACAAAGAAGGCCACAGATGCATGTAAAACCGCGTAATAAAATGTAAGTCCGAGAAGTTACCTCGGACTTACAGTAAATAGTAAATATATATATATATATATATTATATATATATATATATATATATATTTTATTATATATACTTTAGAATAAGGATGACAAACGAGTACACAGTCCACCTGATGGTAAGTGGATACTGTGGCCCATAGACATCCACATTTATCTTCGTTTAATCAAAATCCAGAAGATGCGTTGTCACCCCTGAGGACTAAGATGGAATGCCTCGTTTCCAGTAAAAAGGATCTCTGGATCTCTACAATCACCATACAAAACACAGCAGTATTAAGCTGCTATTTTACGCTGGTATTCTTTAAGACCGTAGTCCATTCATGCTACAACTATAATATAGCTGCAGCGTGGCTATTCCACGTATAAGTACTATAATATAATACTGCGGTCAAGTCGCAATGCTTGGCTGTAGAATCAGATAAAATAATGTTATTTCATAAAAGTGACATACGAACTCCATCTAATGATAAGTGGCTACTGCTGTCCATAGAAATCTGAATCTAATTTCAAACGTAGAAGGCTGTAATTGCGTTGTCCCGCCTAAAGATTAAGATGAAATGTTTTCCGGTCCGAAGTGTACAGAGAGCCTGTATAATCAGTGACTATTGTGGCACTCTATATACTTCTTGAATATACTTTTTGAAACCTCCAAGAATCCACCTCATCTGGATGCTTTGTGGTCTACCACTGTACGTTTCACTAGAAGTTTTCTTGCGCGTACGAGCTCTCTGTGGAATAGTTTACTACCGGTAATTTTTTCGGACCGATAGAATTTTAAGAATTTTAGGGGCCAACTATACTACTAATATTAAAGAAGCGATCGAGCGGAACCAGGGCTCCAAAGTCTTTGCCAGAGATCTGTCTGCCAGTAAGAGCCAACTATCAAAGCTGAAGACTGAGTGTGGCAGCATCGTTTCCGGGACACCTGAGATTTTGAGTGAGATTGAGAGGTTCTATGGGCAGCTTTACACATCATCGTTGGAGCCACACGCATATGTGAGTAACGATCCAAGAGCAAGTCTTATC